GGTGAAGCGGCTACTGAGATACAGCATTTCATCATAAGTGGGCGTGGTCCCGCCCATTTTCCAACAATTTCTTAATAACACTATTTTTTACCAAAATTCTGCTTCACATACAAATTTTCAACGATTTGGATCCAATATGAATGATTTTTGAGAGCCCAAATATGAAGCGATTTCAAGTTTCTTTCTTTTTTTTTATTAAAAGATAACTAAATTTCACGTCGATCTATCCATGTCGATTTTTAAAAAAAAAGCTCTGTTTTTTTATTTATTTCTGTTGAAAAATGAAACAAAAAAATTTCACGCTTGGATGCTTCCATTTTTTTGGAAAATACTTGAAATTAATTTCAAATGTCGGCAGTCCTTTAAAAAAATATCCATAAACTTTTTTCCATAGGACATATTTATTTAATTAAAAAATGTATTTCATTCGTTATCTATACTAATATATATTTTGCTTGCCACATAAAAGCAAAAAAAAATATTGAAATCAGACTAAAATTACTGCCACTTTTCATATAACGGTAAATTTCAGAAATGCTTGATTTAGGGGCGCTAATTTACTCAAAATTGATACTAACAACAAACACTTGAAAATAAGTAACATTGTTGGGAATTTTGGGAAATGGGCGTGATACCGTCCCCATATGACTATATAAGTTTATCTCATTATGTCTAGCTGAACGTTCTATCGAAGATGTTTAAAATAGGGGTAAAACCACCCCGGCTTACCTTGTAGCGGTAGTTTTCGAAAAGGAGAAAAACATATATGTAATACTTGCGCCGGGTATTTAATGTAACTAGTGAACCCACATGGCGTCAAAACGCCAGCGTTAAATTAAATTTTTTTAACAGGTGAAACCCTATTCAAAAACCTCTAACAATATTCCTAATAATTAATCTAAACCATTTCTCAGTGAGAGAGGTCTCGCATGGTGTCGGTTTTCATTTCATCAAATTTCAATTCTCCCTGTAACTTAAAAAAATAAAACCTGTGCACATCTATGTAGAATCCTAGTTCTTTTATTTGACTTCTCATTTTGGAAATTCGAAATAACGGTGCAGATGTGATGATCTTCAAAAAAAAATAGATGGCAACTCTAATTAAAAATGTTATCAGCATATAGTTTTCTTAAAACTCTTTCGTTTGACACTAATATTTCGATATTGCATTTATGTATCTTTCGTATAATTCGACTTTTCGAACAGGTGGCAACCCCTTTAAAAGTATTTTCAGACTACAATTTTTCACCTGGCATTGTTACACATATTTCAATTAACTGATGAATTAAGTTGAATTGAATTTTTTTAAGCACATGGCAACTCTCCTAAATACAGTTTAGAAATAAATTATTTTCAAACCCATTTCGATTCATACCCATCTTTTGACAATCCATTTAACTTATTAAATAATTTGAGCTTAATTTTTTAAAAAAAAAACCCAAATGTTCAGCTTAAAGATTTCTTAACACTCGTTCTTTTGATAACCCTNCATTTATTTTTAAACATGTGGCAATCCTCTTCAATTTGGTTCTTAAATAAAGGATTTTAAACCCATTTCCATTTATAACCATCGGTTAGTAACTCATTTAACTTATTAAATAAATGTAGTTTAGCCATTTAAACTGGGGCAACCCTCAAATACATCAAAAATGTTCTAAATTGTCAAATTAAGTATTTCTTGAAGCCCTTTCATTTGACATTCATCGTTAATATTTCATATAGGTGGCAACCCTATTCAAAATATTTTTAAACTACTACCTTCTTAAACCTCTTTTGCATGACACCCATATAGCGATACCTTATTCACTTAACAAATTCCTTTAATTAAAATTGAATTACATTTTTTTAACATGTGGCAACCCTCCTATACGTAGTTATGTTATAAAGCCTTTTCAAAACCATTTCGATTGATACCCATATTTAATAATTGATTTAACATTTTAATTAATTTGAGCTTAATTTCTTATCAGGTGGCAACTTTTTTCCAAAAAGTAAAACCTTCTTGAACATCCACACCCTAAGCCCAAACGGTGTGGATGTGATGGCATTGATTATTAAATTATTTGAATGCAATTTTTTATCAGGTGGCAACTCTTTTCGAAAAAATAAAATCGAACGAACGGTGCAGATCTTTTAGGCTGCACAAAAAATGCCTTCGCGTATTATATATAATAGATAATTTGGATTTAACTTTTTACACAGGTGGCAACCCTCCTCAAACTCATAAAATATATTCTCAATGTGCAAACTAAGATTTCGTAACACTTTCTTGTTTTATATCGATAATTGAATTGAATTAAATTAGACTTTTCGATCAGGTGGCAACCCTACTAAAAATATGTTCAATCTAAAATCTTCTTAAATCTCTTTCGTCTGACCCCCATATTGTTATACCTATTTTAATTACCCCATTGCCTTAATTCAAATTGAATTTGATTGTTTAAACAGGTGGCAACCCTCCTACACGCAGTTAAGAAATAAGGTATTTTCAAAACCCTTGCGATTGGTACCCAATTAGTAAATATTGATTTAACTATTAAAATTATTTGAACCTAACTTTTAAACAGGTGGCAGCCCTCTCCAAACACTTTAAAAATATTCTAAACGTTCCAACTAAAGATCCCTTAAATTGCATTCGCTTGACATCCATATTTTTATACTTCATATAAATTAGAATTTTCACACAGGTGGCAACCCTCTTCAAAATGTTTACAAACTACTACGTACTTAACCTTTACCGTCTGTCACAAATACATATTTCTATTACCTAATTCCCCCAATTCAAATTAAATTTGATTTTTTGAACAGGTGACAACCCTCATAAAGTTAAGTTAAGAAACAAACATTTTCAAACTATTTCCATTTATGCCCATTTTGTAATAATTGGTTTAGCTTTTACAATAATTTGAACTTAATTTTTTAAATGGTGGCAACTCTTTTCGAAAAAGTTAAACCTATTGCACACCTACATCCAGAGCCCTTTGATTTGGCACCTCACTTTTGAAAATCGAACGAACGGTGTGGATCTGATGNATCTACAGGCCAAGCGCTTTAATTTTGCACCCCATTTTTGAAAATCGAGCGAACGGTGCAGATCTTTTATACGGAACAAAAAATGCCTTCGGGTATTATTTTGAACTTAATTTCTTAACACTTTAGATGGCAAATACCATCACAGAGCCAGCACGATAAGAAGTATTCAGATTTGCTTTTAACTTGCCTATTATCAAGATGGCACTTCATAGTGAAAAATAATAAACACTTATGGTAATAAGAAGGCAAACAAAATACTTAAACAGATTTAACCTCTTCAAATTTAAACGCGCAAGTACTGTTATCGATTTTAACGCAAAATCGACTTCTTTCTGCATTTCACTTATTTTTCTTACCATTTTTCTACTTCTTAAAATGTTTACTTATTCAACACCTTCCTCCTATAATTCCGCCTATAATCGCTTTTGAATGTTCGATGTAGTAAATTCATATTTTCGTACATTTTTTGTCTTATTTGCTTTCGCTGAGATTTATGTATGTACATAGCTAGAAAAAATTTGTGTGGATCTTTAAGAGCATTTATTCGAAAAGTTCATATGTAAATAATTCCACATAGCCATACAAATTCTTAACAAATGCTTTTCGCTGTATTTGTATGTCTAGCAACAAAAAACAAAATACATTTATTTCTTCTGCATCGACAAATAGCTTTAAATTCAATAAACAAAAAAAAAACAACTTATCGCTTTAAAATTTAAATTAAGTCAATAAATGAAAATAATTTTCTCTTCTATGCATTCCACAAACAGCTACTGATAATCTAACGTCTGTGATAATCTCAGATTCGAAGCAGAATCTCAAGGATACAACGGTGACATCGATGAATGCAACGCAAACACCCTCTGCAACTACAACCACCACTGTCACCACAACGATACCGCCAATGCTGGGCATGGGCGGTGGTGGCAGCTGCGGTGGTGGTGGCGGTAATGGCTTGGGGGGCGGCGGCGGCCATAGTGGTGGCGGTGGAGGAGGTGGCTTGAGTGTTGCGAGCGCTACACTAACCACCAGCAATCATCTAGATGTGCCACAAGCTGGAAATCCAAATCTGCTTAGTCCCGATGTGCTCAATCAGCGAAGAGGTGAGTTGGGATTTTGTAGTGATAGACACCTAAATAGAGAAATTAAGGGAGTGGGAGGATAGCGAGTGAGCATTGAAAGGAGTGTGATTTACTCAAATAATTTTAATGAGTATTCAAAGCGATTTGCAAACGCAGTAACCGTAATACAGATTTTCGATATGCATCGGCGAGTGAAATGCGGCAACGTTTGAGTGTACTAAGCCAATTATAGTTTAAGCATTTAGAGATTTTAACACAAATTCGGAGTAGTACAAAATTAACCCTTAAGCACATTTTCAGTTTAGACTTATTGCTCGCATTTAAGATGAATTTCGAGCTTTGTTGTTTTCAGAGACTTATAGTAAAATTTGATGGTAAATATTTTTGTAAAACATTTTGACCCGTTATATACCGGTTTTACAATTATTTTTTTTTCTTTTTCTAAGACCGTAGACCCTACTGAATAGGCGGTAAAAATTTTCCACAGAAATATTATCTGTCATTTTTTATATAAAAGCGCTGAACACATCGTATGTCTACAATGAGAATGTGAAGAGGGGGCAAACTTTGACCCCTAAAATAAAACTCAGACTAAAACTTTCAAAGCGCTGATAGACAGTGACGAACAAAAGTATTATCAGAGTGAATTTTTCTCAATATGTGCAAGGTTTTTTATTATAATTTATTTTCGACAATTTTTTATAAAAATATAGTTCATACTACACCAAAAACATACACCACTGTTCTGCAACTCTTTCGTATTCGATTTTTTCTATAAATCGTAGAAATGGTATGCTGTAATCCGAATCGTATTTTCGAAATTCGTAACAATGGCATGCCTAAAAACGAGCGAGTAAGAAATTTACTTTTTTTATGTGAAAGAAAATGCACAACACCGCCAACAAAAAGAAAATGCCAAAAATCAGCGATATTTTGTAGCCACATAAAACTCGCACTTTATTATTGCATGGGCTATAAAACTGCATACGCAAAAATTTTCCAAAAATTCTTTCACAAAAGTTGAAAACTTTGGTGAAAATTCGCTGAATTTTTATGTGGATTTGTATAGTGTTTGTTATAGGACGATATATATTTTTATAAGAAAATAATTGAAATTAAAAAGTATGAATTTATTTTTGTTATTTATGGCCTTATAACAATTATATTCAACAATTTTATTGAGCTTGAGGACGTTTTTATTGAATTTTTTTGTAAATTTAGATTTTTGGTAGAATTTATAGCTATTTCGGAAATCACCACTTCTCTTCTTCATATTTCTTCAAATGGGATTCGATCCGACGACCACAGCTATGGCGGCTTGTTGGTTAAAAACTATGAAAATAAATATTCAAAACTTGTTAATATGTGGCGGCCTTAAAATTATGCAACTGAGTGTACTCCTTAGCAGTAGAGCACACAGCGGCGAATTCATTTCCGGTATTTCAGATATCGAAACAAAATATTGTATCGATATCGAATCAAAACTCCTAATATCGATTTAAATTCACCGATATATTGAACCTTGATATTGAATTATTGTATATCGTATCGGTATCGCTCATCCCTACCGTCTGCCCAGAGTTGCTAAAATTTGATTTAAAAAAAAATGTTTGCATTGCCTCTTTTAGCGAATCTATGTACTTTTAAATACTATATAACGGAGTAAAAACCCAACTCTGTCGTTTCAGCTATCCTGTTGGTAGATGTCCTCTTTACTATCTGTCACTAGATCGTATGGATATAGTGTTTTCCCTACCATTTCTGTAGATCTTACTCTGTCTTCTTGGTTCACAGAGTACCTGCATACGTTTTCAAGGCGGGTGATCTTAGCCCAGAGACCATATCTCCATTTGAGCGCCATAGCTCCTGCACTAGGTCTATGTCATAAGCTTCCCCCTCCGAGGTAAGCATGAGCTCTGGCAAAGTTAGGTCATTGTTTTGACGATTCACGCCATTGACCTCCGCGCCTTCTGTTAAGCTGGCTCGCAGTTTTGTGGCAGCATCTATGTTGGTGTTATTGTTGTGACTCTTGTCGGTAGATACAAGCAGCCCAATCCCCATCTTTGTTGATTTTCAGAATTTTCAAACAACAGTTGGTCAGGTAACATGTAGTGCCTTCCCGCCTTTCGTTGGTAGCTCGTCTTTTAACGCTACAGCAAGCAAGCAATTTAATGAATGCGAAAACCCTGTTAAGAAGCGAATATATAGGGTCCCGTGTAATTACTTTGCTAGTCCCCATTTGCCATACTTTTCACTTAGCTTTATGCATATGTAGAAACATAAATTATATTTAAAAAAATTTTCTTTTTATCTTCTAATACCTTGAACATTCTAGGAAGTCGTCGGCCATCTATATTACCAGTACCGGATATGTTCACCTCATCTTCTTTTAGCATATCAGGCAACGATGATGGCGAAGAAGGCGATGAAAGTGAGGACGAAATCGACGATGATGTCCCTTGGCGATCGCCGTCCGAGAAAATAGCGTAAGTTAATATGAATTTTACACAAATATTAAAAAAAATAAAATTTATATGTACATATGTAGGTATATGTATGGTACTTGTATATTTCTGTATGCACCCAAATCCATAAATTCACAAAATCCATTTAATACGTTTTTCTTTCTCCTATACAAAATAGACTAAATAACTTCCTTCTACTTAGTCCTGGCAATTCGTTGGTTATAGCGTTTTTTTTTTTTGTTTTGTAAATTTGGACACTCAGTGTTTTTTACAACTGCATAGAAACAGCATACATACATAAATGTCACGATCTACATTTATAAATAGTTTTGTTTTTAATTTTTGAATGGAGATGGTGTGTGTATTTGTTTTATACCCCCACTTGTTGTCCTGTATTGTAATCAATTGTATGCCAACGAGTAGGTATCTTTGTGCCAAAGCTAAGTAAATTCTAAGTATATTTTTTTTTTTATGTAAATGAGAGAAAGAAATTCGAATACGATAAGAGCGCTACCAGAGGTTAGTAAAAACTTAAGGCTTTATCCATCCATAACTACTCACATAATTGGAGGCTGTCAACTGCGCCTAAAATACATTTCTCCTTACGGGTGTAAATGAGATACATATCTTTGATTTTGAAAACAAAAAAAAATATTAGAGATCGAAAATTTGTTAGATTTATCGCCTTATGACAAAAACCAGCTTATATTATCTAATCTTGACACTCTTCATCCCTTACCTACCCATCAACTATTATTCACCCATTATTTTCCACTTCCCACCCCCGCCAAGTGCCCTGAGTGGTCATTTTCCGCAATCGCGTACCTATTCACTGATCATGAGCTCCTCGGAAGATTCAAATAATCACAGCTGCTGTGCCAGTCAACCGCAACTACAACAAAGCGAGTCACGCTATCGTATGCTTGCGAAAAGTTTTAGCTGCGATAGCGATAGCCGTCGTGTACTGCCATGCAATTTTGTGAGGCGTAATCGCGCACTCGCTCAATGCATTGATGGCAATGTAGATGCCGCCACTGCCGCCACTGCTGCCACCGACACTTATTGTTCGCTATGTTCAACCAACACCTGGATACCGGCCACGACGGCGACGACCACCACCTCCTCGACGACGACTGGCACCCAACGCACTGCTGTCACTTCGAGCAGCTCCACATCTGGCGGCAAGCCGGCTCGTCCCATCTGGGCGATGGATTATTTACGGTAAGTATGGCATGCGGCGTCATTGTGGTCTCACCTAATCAACAATATTCATCTACAAAATACATACTAAGTACTTCTCGTACCCATCGTTTGTTTGCCGTGTGTCCTGCTGCAGTTTTGCGTTGTTTTTTTGACGTTGCCGGTTTTACTTCTACTTCACCAAAAAAAAAAAACGAAAAGAAGAGTTGGTTGATAAGCTTCCGTTATTGAACCGCGCCGTATGAGGCTTTTTGAAATGCTGATACAACAGATAAACACAACATACACAACATACATAGATACATATGTGATGTTCAGACATACAAATGCACACTCACACACATGAGATAACTGGCTTGCATATGTGTTGGTTAAATGAAAAAATAAGACGAAAAGTAGTTGAGCGTTAATTAATTTATTTACTAACATTTAATTTTTTTGGTTATATGCCTAATATACTATTATACTAAACACATATGTACACATATGTATGTACACTAGGCGACAAATGAAAGTGTACACCTTGTTCTAATATATTATGCACAATTATTTTCGTGAAATATTTTTTGCATTAATTATTTTGATAATATAAACTAAAATTCAAAAAAAAATCTTCAAAATTTTCAACTTTTTCAGAATTTTTAGAAAATTTTCAATTATGCAGTTATTTGGCCCATTCAATTCCAGTCTAAGGAATTCAAGTCTCAGCGGCCTATTTTTTTTTTTTTTTAGACCGCCGTTTTTTATTTTGTTTTTTTTATATATACTTGCGTTGATTTTTTGAAATTTTATTGCTAGCGGTCTCCAACATTTTATTTCATATGAAATTCATGCTTATATGGAAAAAAGTGCAAAAATCTGTTACCAAAAAAATCTCAAAAATCAACGGGGCTTTGAGCCGTTTGAAAATTACACTTCATTAGGCTAAAATTGAAAGGGCTATGAAACTGCATGCTCGAAAATTTTCTACAAATTCTGAATAAAAAGTTAAAAATTTTTTATGACAATATTTGTGAACTTTATATAAAATATGAAGCTCTGATTTATATGGTTTATATTATAGAAAAAAAACAATTTTTTCATAAATAATTAATGCAAAAAATTTTGTAAGGAAAATAATTGTGAATATTATATTAGAACAAGGTGTACACTTTTATTTGTCGCCTAGTGTATATGTATAGCTACTAATAAATAATTAAGGTAATACATATATTAGTATTTAATGTTTATATGGCTGGCACGAATTTCGCTATTATAAACCAAATTAATTTGTTAGTGAAAGACAAAAAAGCCTTATTTATAAGTTTTTGAAAACCTACTCGTAATAGATAGGTGTGAAACACTGAATTGTTGTTTTGTATAGTTAGCCAGGTGTAATTATTTTTGGTATTTTAAAATTTTCGTACATACCCAATTCAGGCTCAATCAAAAGAGCAATCCTTCTACTCACCAGCACCTGCTCTGATCAAAAAATTATGAATCACATTTATCATATTGCAATAGGCGGAAGAGACACTTGGGGCCTTTTTGATGCGCGTTCTCTCCGTGGAGTCAACATCAACTCGGATCAACCTTACGGTTGTACTTGACCTGATTACCGCCCAGATCTCACTGAGCTAAAATAAGGAACATTTAATCAAGAGTAGAGAACAGTAAATGGTTTTTAATGAGAAACTTTTTCATGGCAGAAGTACACTCGGAAGAATTCTAACTTGCCTGCTGAGAACAACCGCTGTTAGAAAACCTTTTTTCTGATTTTAGATGCTACTTAAAGATAGGTTAGACATTCCTTTATTATTTCCACTTGGAAGGTAGATATTTACCTTCTTCGTTGACATCACACAATTGAGCATCCAATCGACTGTTCCCTAAATTACAACTACGTCTTCTAAAAGATATTTCATTGATATGAATGCCGATAATTCATCAAGCTTCAACCATTCCGTGTAGGAATTAATCTCCAAATCCTAAGCGCCCAATGGCCGTAAGTCTTACTGTAGCCCTTTCTCAGAAACCTATCCTACAAAGCCGGCGGACGCTACGTTAAGTATGACGCAAAGAGCAAACATGTGAGTGGTCCTAAGTGCCACTTACTGACTAGCATACCTAGTCGTCTCTAATGCAGTCAAGTACTCCATAAAAAAATAAAAACTTTAGTTATAATTTCATAGAGCCAGGAAATAACTAGATGTGAGAGTTCCCATCTCCTTGCCTTTTGACCCTCTTCCCTTTGCGATAGGCGCGAGAGCTTTCCTTATATAATAAAACACATATAGGAGGAAACCCAGGGATTAGATGGCTACCACCGAAAACCACTAGAAGTCAGAAAAGGCGTTCACAGTGAAGCGTTTATGTCTGTATCCAAGTTGCTATTGACTGATCTACCCTTTATGTGCGCCGACGATCACGAGAAATCCTTTTTTTCCATTCCTTGAAATAACGCACTCCGATTGGCATATGTCTATACCTGTGAGAGGTGCGAGAGCTTTCAAAACTACGGCACCCAAGCCACTCTTAAAAATTGAAAGTGGCTGATATTAACAAGAATACTTAAGCGTCTTAAACTAAGTAAATATTTTATATGAAGATATATGTATATCTACGAGTTATTCTTAAGATTTGTAGTATTTAAACATAAACATAATGCATTTGTAAACCCAATTATTTGTGTTGCATACATATTTATGATGGAATGTAAAGTTATATATGTATGTACTTATATATAAATGTTGCCTCTGTAATATTTATGTATGATTTTTTGGGCACAGCATTATGGTAGTGAGTTGAGAACAGTTACAAAAAAATTGCAAGTGTTCCTTGTACTAACTTTATGTTTTGTGAAAATTGTTTTCAATGTTTTTTTTTATTATTTGCAATTTGGTTACTGTGTATGAAACTGCTTAACATTTTTTTTTTTAAACACCACACTATTCCACTCCTTTCCGCTTCCTTAAGTGCACTTTAATTAATGTTTACATTCCCTAAGGTATTTACCTTATTTAAATAGTTCAATGATTGCTACTAATGGAGCGTGTTTTAAAAATTACTTAAGTTCTGCAGTTATATTCCCTGGATAAGAAAAATTAATGCAATTTTTAAATACTTGTAACACAAATCTTGCAAAATCATTATACGTATATATGTATGTCTTCGTTTCGTTATACTTTTTTACAGCATCGTTAAGGGTTTCCCGCCCGTCTCCCCATTCATCGGAGTCAGTCCGACGCTGTGTTATTTGCTAAAAGAGAAAAAACCATTGTGTTGCCTGCAACTGGCGCAGGTGAGAAATGAAAATCAATATTACTACACTTTTCCTACTGCTTGCATATACAAATATGTTTAAGGATTATCTATTATAGTACAGTGACTCAAACAAGCATTAACGCGATGATTTTTTTTTAATATTCACCATGTTTTTCATGTTAAAATTTTTTGGTTAATTCTACTATTCCTTTGTTTGTAAGAGGTGAACTCGCGAATGGCTGTACCTACTATTTCTTTAAAGTTTTGAATACCCACTATGGATTTTCTAGGGATGGTTATGGGCTAAAAAAAAATTTCGATGTATGTATCAAGGGGGCGTGGCACCACCTGCAAGTGCTCATTAAATAGTACTGGAACTTGGTATTAAGAATTAAAATAAACTATTTTAATATGTCCATCAAAGGAGAAAGATTCAAAAATTATTTATTTCGAAAATATTTTTGAAGAGGATTGCCTACTATTTAGAAATTCAAATCCAGTTTAATTAACAATTTAAACGAAATATTTTAAAATCGGCATCAAAAGATAGAGCTTTTACTAAGCTTTGGTTCTCGAATATTTTTAACGGTGGTTGCCACCTGCTCAAATAGTTAAAATCAATTTTATTAATAAGTTAAATAAATTTTGTTAATATACATAGATATAATTCGAAAAGAGTTCAGGAGTGCTTTATTTCTCTATTTATGTTTTATTATTCGAAAATAATTCGTTTAATAATTCGAAATTATTTTTGTTAACAAGCGAATTGAAATATTTTTTTATGTATAACAACCGATAGTGGTTTAAGTAAAATTTATTTATAAAATATTTTTGGAGAGGGTTGCCAACAGTTGGAAAGTTAAAGCTCAATTAAATGAGAGGTCAAATGCATTACCATACGGGTGCCAAACGAAAGAAGTTAAGGAAAGCTCTTTCTCAAAAATGTAGTTAAATAGTTATTTAGAAAAAATTATATAAAAGAGTTGCCACATATCCAAAATGCATATAAAATAGCTGCCGAACTACTGCAGCATTTTCCAGGTGGAAGTATGAATAATATTGGCGGTGCTATTGAGCAACAACCTAGCAAATAAACAGGTGCAACTCTGTATCGACAACAATGTTGCCAGATTCACAATTTCAACTAAAAATTATAGTTTTTTCGAAATCTCCGCTTTAAACGAAGAAAATAAATTAACTCTTTTCGTTTTTTTTGTAAGTAAAATGCTAAGATAAAAAAAGGAACAAATGATTTCAGCTGTCCTTTGCATTCCAGTCACCACTGCAAATATGAAAGAAATATTTTCCCAAATCAATTTGAATAAAACAAGAAATAAACTAGAAATTTTAAGAATTAAAGATTTCTTAAAAAGTGCTTCTGGAGGTACTGAATTTGAGGTGTTAAATCAAATGACTAAATCTCAAAACAATTAACACAAAATAATTAAACGCAATTTACTTAAAACAAGTGATTTAAATGTTATCTAATGTTAATGAGTTTTTTTGATTTTTTCTACATTCTGTATACATAAACAATTTTTTTTGTATAAAAGAATAAAAAAAATATGTTAATTTGAAAAGTATTGTGAATATTAAAAAACCCCAACAATTATTGTTTGAGCCACTGTATATTCATTAGCGTGGGCCGAAAATCCTCTTTTTTAGAATTTTGATTTTTATTAGCAAAAATATGGTTCATTTTACTCTAAAAATGAGCTGTGTGAAAGATGAAAATTTTTGGTAAATAACTTAGGCTCGCCCAAGTTCATCAAAGTTCAATATGCTCAAAAAATAAAAATTTATAAATGCATTAATTAATATATTTTTTTTTTACTAAAAGTATCTTCGAAAGTGTTAGTCCTACATAATTTGGTATATGGACCTTTTTGTAGAGAATCTAAGTAAGCTACGACAATTTTTTTAGCACCTGAACTTTGATGGACATGGGCGAGCCAGATTAGCATTATGAAACATATTTTTGCTATTACCAATCGAAATTCTAAAAAAGCGGATTTTCGACCCATGCTTATATACACACGTACATATGTATGTACGTACATCTTGATCAATATATACATACATAACCATATGCATTTTTCCTTATGCTTATGTAGGTTTGTGAGCACTGTAGCTATCGCAATGCCAAGGAGTATCAATGGCAAAACAAGACGATTATACTGGCAGCCGATTATGCATCGAATGGCATTTACAACTTCATCATACCGTTACGTGCACATTTCCGTTCGAAAACGTCGTTAAATCCGATTATATTGTTGTTGGAGCGTCGACCGGATGTGGCCTTTCTCGATGCACTCTCGTACTTTCCACTGGTAGGTGTCAAATTATCAATATTGCCAAAGAGCACTAAGGTGGTAGTGAGCTAAAAAGTGCAAGAAGAAAGTAAAGTTTTTTAAATGTTCTACAATATTTTATGTTTATATACAGTGTGGCCTAGACCACCCATCCAACCCCTCTAAAATGTAGGGAAATATATTTTTTATTGAAAAACGCAAGAAATGGGATCTACCAAATCAGGGATGCTCTATTTGTTGGTGATATTACCGATTTGCGGTTTCGACAGGAAATGGGTTAAATTGATCAGAAGTTATTTTTTTTTGATTAGAAATGCATGTTTTTACTGCAAATTCGGATTCTGAGGATAAAAAGACGTCGTTTTCCTTTGAAACTTTTTCTCCGAAAGTACTTTTTCCAATCTCTAAAAGAACTTCGAACTTCAGGTTGGCCTGGACTTTTGAAAGGAGTGAAAATATTTGTATTGGAAAAGGAAAAACATGAATTACCTAGTCAGGGAAGCTCATTCTTTCCAGAAACTAGTTTCCGACAAAAGTTATGTACAAGTACATCCAAAAGATAGAGCAGCCCCGATTTGGAAGGTCATATTTTAGCGTTTTTTCAATAAAAAAAAACATTTCCTTCCATTTTAGAACGGGTACACAGCTGGTCTAGGATACCGTGTATACATCCATACATACATACATATTTCATTTTTCTTTATTTATCTATACAGACATAAATTGTGTGATTTTCCATTTTTATTTATTCTTTTTTTTTTCAATTTTTTACTCGCCCTCCTAGGTGTATTGGATGCTCGGTTCAATCGATTGCTTGGATGACCTGCTACGCGCCGGCATTACCCTAGCCGAGAGTGTGGTGGTGGTGAATAAGGAGCTGTCTAACTCAGCGGAGGAGGATTCGCTGGCCGATTGCAATACCATTGTTGCTGTGCAGACAATGTTTAAGTGAGTGTAGCAGACTCGTCAAACAATTATTTGCACTTGAATGCGCTTTCATAAATTTTTTATAAATTTTATTTTTCGTACAATACTCATCGCCTTTCTAGATTCTTTCCGAGCATAAAAAGCATTACAGAACTATCGCAGAGCTCCAATATGCGCTTTATGCAATTTCGTGCGCACGACAAATATGCGCTGCATCTGAGCAAAATGGAGAAGGTACGAATATGAAATGTAAATATTTAATAGAAGGGAATTTTCCAAAAACAAAATGTTTTACTTTTCGGTTTACCGTTTCACAGCGTGAAAAGGAGCGTGGCTCGCACATCTCGTATATGTTTCGTTTGCCTTTCGCTGCCGGCGCAGTTTTTAGCGCCTCCATGCTGGATACGCTGCTCTATCAGGCGTTCGTCAAGGACTATGTGATTACGTTTGTACGCCTGCTGTTGGGCATCGATCAGGCACCGGGTAGCGGTTTTTTGACTTCGGTAAGAAAATATTTGACGAAATAAATACTGAAATGGGGCTATTCACGCCAAAGGTAGAATAACGAAAATTGCATAGCTTTTAAGTGGTCTAAAGTTAGTCGTATAGCTTTAGTTGAAATGTTGTTTATGATTTTGCTTTGTCCTGGTTCTTGGTGCCTGGCACACTCACAACGGCGAATAAATTGAAGAGCATCAGCAATAGAGATATGGCCACCAGAAATCTCCAATAACAAATATGAAGCTACCGCAGGTGCCCCAGGAGGGAATTCATTCAAAGATAAATCCGGCCGAACGTGAAAGTTTTCGGAATTGTCGAGCTGTAATTACACAGAGACGCCAGACAGAGACAGTAGAACGCCAACAACTTATTATTTTATTTTTTATGTTATGTATTGCGTACTTCTTAAATAAAAATTTATAACCAGATAACCTGATAACGAGGCAATCCACAAAAAGGGAGATCCCGCTTTTTGCGAATTATTCCTTATTAGCATACCTAGAAAATGTACGATCGACCAGATTTTCACAGTTTTTCAAGTCCTGGAAAAACTCTCCACAAACAAGTTGGCACACGCCCCTTTTTGGTAGACTTTAAAGTCGCCCTTTAAAGCACCACAAAAAGCTAAGTAGTTTAAATTTGAGATCCCTGCGAAGCGAATAAAGCTTTGTAGAGCGACATTGAGCACAACCGCTCAAATTGAAAAGAGCCTCCCCGCGCCGTATGAGACACAACGAGGTTTTAGACGAAAGACTTTGTCTACCTAGGGTCCATTGTCAGCCTGGAGATCAAGCGAAGAATTACTTGTGACAACAGGTGCCAGTTTAGGCTCGACGAACAAAAATTCCGCTTTACGAATCTTTCATCATACCAGTCCTTTTAGATAGCAAACAAATATGAGAAAGCTTTGGATTCTTTCGAGAAAGCTATTCTGCGCAAGATCTATTACCATTTCCGTGCGATCGACGGGTACCGAAGAAGATGGAATGATCTCTACGAGCCCGAGGAACAAGTCGGGAATTAACTGCAGTTGATCCGGATTAAGTCCGAGTTAATCCGGATAAACGCTGCCGTCTATTTAAGCTTTTAAACACCATCACCACACACGGAACTAACTGTCTGACTGTCTTCGCAACATACGGGTAAACACGAGAGGCTGCCGGACGCGAATTATCCCCAGGGAAGAAGGTTGCAAAACAGCGAAAAATAAAGTGAAGAAAATGGCAACCTTAACTAGGAAAAATCTAAAATAGGACAAGCTACACTCGAGGTCTTGGCTACCAATTCGTAATCAAATGACTCGATTATATTTGTTGAAAACCATAACCCATGGCTCAATAAATGGAAAACATAATAAAAAAACTGTTTCCTGCACACAAATTACCCCCACGATGGAACAACTACCGCTCTTTGCGATGGAAGAACTTCAATGGGTCGCAAGCAAGCAAGCTCAAGTATAATAATTTGCCAGCACTCAAAGAGCCCCGCAACTACTCCGTAATATGTATAGCGTATGCTTGGCCACATGGGAAAAAGAGCAGCTCGTATTAATCAATAACGGTAAAGTCAATCTGACCTCACCATCCGCTTATCCGCTCTATGTATGTATGTTAGACAAAGCAGGCAAGCTCTCAAAGAGAGACCACGTCGTCTTGCAATAGCAATCGTTAATGCCGGATGAGTCTCGTTCAGGCAGTATGGCTTTAGACCTGGAAAATCAACTGCTGCTCGCTGAGTCAGCTCTGCTTAACATGCGGTGTCTAGTCTGGCGCGTCGTTCTGGTTATAAGCTTCACCAATTTGCTTGATCTTACTTCCATTTATGGATGATCTTATTTAAAATATGATAATATTTTTATGAACTTAAAATTTTACTGCATTTCAAAAAAATGCATGAAATAAGCAATCAAGTTATCCGGCTTAGCGTGGAATGCCCCATTTTTTTGACAATTTTTGTAACAGCTCACAATAATAATTGACTCACAACTTATCCTTCTCCACCCCACAGATGCGCATCACCAAAGATGATATGTGGATACGCACCTATGGTCGACTGTATCAGAAACTCTGTTCGACAACTTGTGAAATACCGATTGGCATTTATCGCACTCAGGACACATCGAATACGGAAGCATCACATGTGAGTAATTCACCTGTAGAGAGGTGGGGACCCTTTTCCGCTTTCGGAAAGCACTGTGTGCGCTTGCGACCTTCGGTGAGTCCAGACAAAGTATGTATGTAACTGAAACCAACAAAAACGCTCAAATATTAACAACAAACTCTAACAAAACTAAAATCAAGTTTAATCAGCAATACTTCTAATAATTATGTACTTACTAACTTACGTACTTCATAAAAAAAAAAACTTGAATGAGCAATGATGAGCACAATCATAACACGAACATGCAATCAAACATAAGGTGCATACACAACAACATATACAACAAAAAAACATCACTTTCAAACCTTTTAGTCTTTTTACCTAGCTTTAACTTCTTTGAATAGGAAATACACCTCGCAGGAACTGGTTTTTTACATCTTCCACACCACATTACCCACATCTTAGCAAGGCGAATCTTTTTTCAGTTAGCGAACCCACTTGTGGAACCAACTTTGTGTCTCATATAAGCATTTTTCCTCTTCCAATTTTATAGAATAAAAGCACTACAAAAATCATACTTAGATTTAGATGGATATGTGCCTCCTTACTCTTAACAATAACTCTTCCTGTTCGAGCACATTTAAGAACTCCAATAGATTAGTTGGTGAATGATAGTGTATAGGTTTTAGCTTCAGAGTGGATAAACCCAGGCATTCTTGCCGTCTTGCCGGAGCTAATGCTCAGAGGTCTTAACAGCAATGCCGTAGAAATAGCATGAAACGTTTCACCAGATTCCGAGATTTTATAAATAACTTTTTAGTATTCAATGGATTGTTGATGCACGAGAATCTATTGAAATGCTTAGTTTATTTTAGACAAGCTAATAAGTTTCCTATTATACCGCTCCCTTTATACTGACGCTATCAAGTCACATGCTTGGAGTGTACTTCTCTCATTTTCTAGGCTCCAAAATGGCGGCGTCAATGCATTCATCTATCTTCAAATCACATGTGTATCAACATAGCTGGCCGGCGTAAGACCCTTCCAAATCGTTAGCGGTGATGTGAAGACACGTAGCCAAAACTATTGAATTTTGGCGTTTTCGCCGACACTGATCTACAAGCGCCTGATCCCAGTTACGTCAG